AAAACAAACTAGGTTAGCAAAATCTCAAAGCAACACCTCAAAATATTATTAACCAACATTTTAACGTTACTTTTTTAAGTGAGCCGACTTTAAAAACGATGAACACCTCTCTGAGGGCAAATACGTAACTGGAAAACACACTTACAGACAAAAACAAGCCTTCCAACTTTACACTAGTGACAACAACATCAGGGACAGCCTTTGTAGAAAGGAAAACCTATCAGACTAACCCGTAAAACAAAGAGCATTTGGCAAGGAAAAGAGATCACGAGCAGAAAGGTAAAGGAGCCTCCCCACCCCACTCCCCCATAAAAACAAAACAAAGAAAACCACAACTGTTCTGTGAAACTACATTCAAAGGTCTTAACATGAGTGAGGCCGCTTCAGGAGAGCGTGCAGGATGGCAGGAGGTAGAAGGCACGACCAAGGAGCGGACAAGGAGGGAGGGACGGGCCCTTACACAGCAGCACCTGTAACTCCTAAAGGCAGACGCTCACCTCCTGTGCCCGTCAGCTCCGGTCAGCACTCACTGTTTACAGAGCTGACACAGCCTTTACATTCGGCAGAGTGATACTGTGATAGGAAAAGAATTCATTCTCTGACAACGCTATCAAATATACTGAGATAGATAGATCTTTATAAAACTTGGATTTGAAAGAACAAAGCACCGTGGGAATTATAGTTCGTGAACAGAAATGTTTTAAAGTGCGACACTAAGAACTGTATCCATAGTGAAAATTAAAGACACGGATCTGATTCTTGGGTGCAAACCTGAATCACAAAACAATTCACCAAACTCCAAAATAAGGGAGTAGGGCCGGGGGCAGACACGGAGCCTCCTGACAGGAGCACAGAAGGGGCAGCTGGATGCCAAGAGCTGAAGCAGAATTTTCCAAAAACATCAACTATAAGGGTGCCCTTCTTACGGTATGTAGTACTCTGACATTCAAGCTTTGTCTTAAAAACCGTTTACTCAAGTCTTTCAATAAAATTCACCAAAGAGGAAATAAAAATATTAGTTCTCCTACTATATCACGTATGGCCTAGAATACCATATTTTCACCTAAGATTAGAATTTTTCAAACAATCTTAAATAATTCTATGAAAAACAGGCTTATTAGCTTGGCTAGACTTCTCTGATTTTAAACTTAAAAATTGGAGGCATTACCACCTAATACAATTTCTAGGTGTACGAGCTCTAAATTAAGAATTTCCCAAGTTTTTCTAAAATTGTCAAACAAAATGGATTTTTAAGTAACGCTTGTCACTGTTGGGGAACAGCAAAACACCTCACCATTAATACCAACTAGATACTAATTCCTTTGAAATCTGGAAATGCGGTGGTGCTTGCGCTGGCTGCCTTTTTTACTCTTTGGTCAGACGGGGAGAGCTGAATTTTTGTCTAAATTTAAGTGAACGTGACGTAATTCTCTGGTGCAAATTCATGTATGTACCGTTAAAAACAAGTGAAAACGTAAATTACACACCCCTTCTCCAAACTACTCATTTTATGCAGGGCTCCTCACGGAGTCTGTCTGAGTCAGTACATGTCCTTGGCACACAAAAGGATGTGAAATACAGAAATGTACAGAGCAAAGTGAAATTCCCTGCAATCTTGCCCTTCCCAGCCCAAGCTCCTTTACGGAACCCCCACTGCTCCGAGGACAGGTGGAGTTCTTGCTGCCGGCTCAGGAGTCCCCGATCCACGGCTGCACATCAGCCTGTGCACACAGTCCTACTCGCCCTGCGCCCAGCAGAGCTGGCCTAGCCCTGGGCCTTGTGCACAGGAAGTACGATCAACAGCGGCTCAGTAAGTGACACAGCACATTACTACTGAATGATCGCGCTGCGAGACTGCAGTGAACCTCACTTTGCTCAACAGATCAGTGTAATTCACATGTTTGTGTGCCAAGGAAGTCTACTGATCTCAACACACTCCATGATGATTCCGAAGTCAGGCTTCCCAACATGATTGCTTTATCAGTATGGGGGGGGGGGGTCACCTTACAAAGCAAAAGTAACAGGACACACCCCTGGGCAAACTGCCATCAGTTAAGGAATCTCCACGGGGTTTTGTTAAAACACAGCAAGACTGTCTCACTAGTTTTATAATTTTACTCCGGTCAAAACTGGCTTCACTGAATTCTGCTAGTCTGTTTCGTGGTTTGGGACTAGCACTATGCAGAAGCACTTGGAAGGAAGGAGACACATACTCACAAAACTACATTTACACTGACGGCAACCACGTCCAACCTAGCAGAAAAGGGACAATCAGTTTTATCCAATAAAGATCTGGTTTATGTAAAGTACTAGGCAATGGCCCAGAGTTGGTCCCCCTTCTTAATGATATTGTAGTACACCTTTTTAAAACATACTACCTCTTGTGTGTTTCAAAAAAAAAAAAAAAATTTTTAAGTCCTCTCTACACCCGTCGTGGAACTTCAGCCCTGAGAGCAAGAGCCGCCCGCTCCACTGACTGAGCCAACAGGTGCCCCCACCTCTCACGTATAGATTCCACACCTGATCATCTGCTCTCAGGAAGACCAACTACAGAAATAAGCAGAGCACTGCATTTTCAAGACCACAGGCACGCTGTAACTGCAGCTTAAGACCCAGCATTTGGGTCATAAGAGAAGGTACAGGACGTGTCAGGTACCAACAGACCAGTGAGCTGCAGGGGCCTCCCGTGTAGCCCAGCAGCTTCCTGCCGCCTGTACACACTGCCCGTCTCAGAAACAGTAACAAAACAAAACATCACACTTTGCAGAAGCTCTTCCAAAAGCAGCTCAACGGTATTTACTATCCCCACTGAACCATATAACTGAAAAATAAGTTCATAATTCAGGGGTGCCTGGCTGGCTCCATCGGTGGAGTGTGTGACGACTGGTCTAAGAGTTCTGGGTTTGAGCCCCACATTGTGTGTAGAGACTACTTAAAAATAAAATCTTTTAAAAAATAGTTCAATTTCTCCAAAAAATATTCTTTTAGGGGCACCAGGGTGGCTCAGTAGGTTAAATATCTGACTCTGGATTTCGGCGAAGGTCATGATCTCAGAGTCGTGGGACTGAGGCCTGCGTCGGGCTCTGTGCTCAGTGGGGTGTCTGCTGCTTTCTCTTTCTCTCTCTTCCCCTTTGCCCACCCCCCCTTGTGCTCTCTCTCTAAAATAAATAAATCTTTAAGAAAAGAGAGAGAGAAAGAGAAAGAAATTTTCTTTTATTATCCCCTTATCCTCCAGTATTATGCAATTTGCTGCTTCTAGGATCAGATAAAATTGTATCTCCAGAACAGAAAAATAAAAGTAGACGAAAATTACAAATGATTACCCTAATTTTATATTAGTAAACATCTTTATAAAAATACCAAGTACATAGAACAGTGCTTTATGTTTTCCTTAAACTACATCATATCAAATTTTATCTCTATAATGCAAACAAAACACAAAAACAAGTCTAATAATGATTATAGCATAGTTGCTTGCATTTCTGAAAAACAGCAAAAAGTACCTAAAATATGAGTGCTTTAGAGTAACTAGCAGGTAAACTACTTCAAAGAAGAAATGTATCTAACAACTAAAACACACACACTTATCAGTGGGCCATGCGGTTAATAAACCCTGTCTATTAGGACAATGCTTTGAACACAGAGGCATACTCAATAAATACACCACCTAATTTTAAAGACCTAGTTTTTAGTACTTCGTAAGTAATTTAAAGGAAAAAATAGTTAAATAAGGGAATAAAACCACTAAGAATCAGTTTTAGAAACCAAATTATAATTCATAAATAACTATAACAAATCAAAGTTGTTCTAAAAACAATACTCTGAACCTTAAATCTAATACTGATTTTATTTTTGAATAATCATCTGACTGTACACCCAGAGCCCTCATTAAAACCTTTTTGCTAAATGCCTTATAATAAATATGCTGTCCTTAAGTGTCAAAGCTGGGGTCAACCAGTCTGTTAGATATTTCCTGAAATCAGAGATTATTCAGTCTCAACAAAACTGTATCTGTTTTATATACAAATGACAGTAAAATTTTATAGTCTGGTCCATTTTTTTTTTAAACATGTCCTCACTGATTTAATGAAGCCAAGAACTAATGACAAGTCTAACCCAAAACTCAAAAAAAGAAAAAATTATTTAAACAGATACAACTATTTAACGGACATTTTTCTTCCAGTTAAAATATATTAAAAGAATGGATAAAGTTAAGGAAAGCATAGCAAAGTATGGAGGGGGGAGAACCGGTGCTTTCTTGTAAAGGTATTTTAAAAAGAAACACCTTCATTTTTAAAGTACAAAACCAATAGCTCATTAAGACTTTTGGGGTTCAGTTGGTTTTTTGTTTTGTTTTGCTTTTTGTTTTACTTTTTGTTTTTTTGAGCAAGTAGAGATCTCATTTAAAAAAAGTGTACAAAGACTGACTTATTTATTTGAGAGAGAGCATGCACGTGTGATTGTGGGGGTGGTGTGGACAGAGGGAGAGCGAATTCTAAGGCTGAGGGCAGAGCCCAATAGGGGCTCAATCCCATGACCCTGAGATCGTGACCCGAGCCGAAACCAAGAGTTGGACGCTTAACCGACTGAGCTACCCAGGTGCCCCAAGAGATCATTCTTAATCCACAGAACTGCACACATACCCACACATACGCAAATCTACCTGTGCACGCACACACACACCATGATAAAGCAAGGCCCTTTCTCACTTAAAGTACTTAAAGACTGATTTCAATAATGAAATCAAAATTCACCTCTTTAAGATGAAAGGCACTGTATGCTGATCCTGATTCAACACTTTTACAGTTAAACAAAATTAATTCCATTCTCAAAAATCCATTGACCTTAAGCTTTTAACAAACATTTCCAATGCAAAAATTGTCAATATTTACAAATCTTTAAACTTATATTTAGTTGGAACCATGCGTATTTGCTGTATGAATGTTTCTCGGCAAACGTATGCTCGTCCTATCGCAGCAGAAGGAGCAGCTGCTACTCACTGGGAATCTCTGCGGCCCCACAGCAGGTCTCGGCTGGCTCGGGACTGGCAGCAAGGGCACTAGGAAGAAAAACAGCTCTGGTTACAAACGCCCTTTACGTCACAAACAAACCCACCGAGAAAGGAATACAGTGTGTCAAGTTTAATACCAAATGTATGTTCTGTGTACAGCATCCGTACTCTGTCAGGGTTACACTTATCCTGCACCCCAGACAAGGACGGGCGAGTGGAACGCGGGCCGGCATACGATGGCACACGCAGAAGCTGAGATTTCAGCGGGGGATTCCTATGCAGAACTAAAATGTTTTGCAACAAAGAGCTTACTCCTCTAAAACGAAACACGGCCCCGTGTTTCACATCCATATTCCAGTTATCCAGACAATCTACTCTGGTTACATTTTCTGACTCCAACCAAATACAGATTTACATCGAAATCCTCTAGAATGGTGACAGGGAGGGAGACGGCAGAGGAGGGAAGGCACACATGCCCACGGCAGTGTTACAAGGAAACATCTACTACACCAGCTACCACACCGAGACCAGAGGTTCGGTTTGGGTGGTTGTTTTTAAAGAAGCAGAACTCCAGTCCATCTACCAGAGGAACGCAAAACCATGTAATTTCAAAGCAGATATTTTATAGTAGGGAAGAAGCCACATGTCCGTTTTATACTACCCTGGGGCTAAATCAGGTATGCTCAAGCTACTTAAAACGTATGCATTGTACTGATCTTGATTTTGGAGGGGAAAAAAACAAACCACCACCCGACTGCTCTCCGGGGTGTACCCTGTCTCTCACTTCACAGCCCGATGACTGCCCGATGCACGCGGTAAGCTCTCAGGGGGTCAGGTGTTATGGGCTCAACTGCGGTCCCCTCCCAAATGCCCACGCTCAAGTCCCAGCCCCCAGGCCCTCAGAACAGGACTGCATTTGGGCTAGGGGCCTTTAAAGAGGTGATCACAGTAAAATGAGGTCATATGGATGGGCCCTGATCCAGCTGGCTGGTGTCCTTATAAGAGATCAGAGCACAGACATGCACAGAGAACAACCAGCCAAGTGAGGATACAGAGAAAATAAAATAGCAATAACATCACATACCAAATGTTTAATTTTAAAAATGTCTGGTGAATAAGAAATAGAGAAATGATACAGCTTAAAGGTCAAAATTATTATAAAAACAGAACACTAAGATAAATTTTATTTACTATAGGTACTCGAGGAACTCTAGACATCAAGCCATGTAATGAGGGTCAGACGTCCACAGGTCCAATTTAAAGGGATGGTGTGTACAGAGCAGAGTCACCACCCATCAAACACAAAGTGTGGTGAAAAGAAATTTACTTGGATAAAATGTAAAATGGCAGAAGTCCTGAGAGAGAGAGAAAGAGAGAGAGAGAGAAAGCCTAATCCAATCAGGCAAAATTTCAAAATGAGAAGAGGTCAATTTGAGAGACTTTACATAGACCAAGACCCGGTCCCCAAGTCTATACAGCCTGCTAAAAGGCACTGGGGAAGGGGGAGGAGTTCATCAATTTAACCAAAGCAAAAGAGCAGATTGTGAAGTAGAGAAAGAAACAATTAGAGTATCTCTGACCTCAAAAGATTACAGTGAAAGTGAAAGACAAACTACATATTAAACAATATGAAGATGACGGTTTGTAGATTAAACACCAAATATAAAGTACCCAGACCTTCAAAACTACGTGCCACTGATTTTTAAACTTGGCACTTCAATATCAATTCCTGTCAGAAACCTCCAATACAACAAAAAGATTAAAAAATTGGGTCTCTCTACCTGCGGGGAATGAGAGCAAGAAAGCTAGGCACAGTCTCCGGGAAGAAATCGGATTATATAATTAACAGATTTCTTACACAGAAGCCTCCTCGTTAGTTGGCTGGCTTTCTTTTCTTTTCTTTTTTTTTTTTAAGTAAACTGTAAAAAGCAACAAAAAAAGAAAGGAGGGAAAAAGAACAAAAGTGACAGAAGAGAGCAGCTAAGGACAGGTGTGAGGGGCAGATCAGAGATCCAGCCTGGAGAGAGGGCGTCAGTCAGACCACCAAGGCCTCTGCGAAGTGTCCCTGGGGAGCTCCTCAGTCTCCAGGGCCCGTGAGCAGGGACACTTCCAACGAGCTACCTCTCTCTGCGCCGTGAGCAGAAGAATTTAATACTTGTAAAGGTAACACACTATTCTTGCTGAACCCTCTACTTGGAACATTTGATATTTAACATTTATCTTTCTGTTGTCCCATGTATTTAACGGACTAAACCGATCAAGTTTTTAATTCATTACAACAGTTAAATAAGCAAAAATCTAGAACACAAGTTAAATTTCCACCAAAACCAGTTAATTATAATATGATGGAACCCTCTGTATCCCTGAAAATGTGTGCCACCAGGAAACGACATGCTTATGCTGTTACTTCTTTTAAAACAACATTTCCATGCACCTGTCAGTGGCCTGCAGCTCCGAGACCCTGGGGCAGTGTACGCGCTAGGCACAGGAGACGTGCAGACACTGGCGGCCTCTCTCAGGAAGGGCACACTCATCTCCTGGGGAACACGCGACTCTTCAGCAGTGCCCTGTGCGTACGCCCAGCTAGGACAGGGCTGCGCCCTCCCCCCACAGCAGCCCAGCTCAAGACCAAAGGGACGCTAAAGAAGGAACATGGGCTCCACAGCAGCAGGCTTCACACTGAAAAATCATTTAGCTGGTTCCAAGAGTGTAAAACCCATTGTCAGAGCTGGTCTTACATTTATGGAACGACGAGCTCTGTGGTGCAAGGCCTGCCTTTGGTATCTGTCAGGCTGCTGACTTTTTGGCAAGGCACATGGTTTTCATATCTGGAAGCTATCCTGGGGTTTCCTTGAAGCTTTCCCACTGCAGACTTCTAACACTACTTGTTTTTATTAGGCTCAAGAGTATCTGTGCATCCCCCACCTGCCAGTTTTGCATTCAGTGTCTACGAGGAACTACACCGTAAACATGCTGACCTCAGAAAAATTCTTCTGACAAGCGACACTGAGTGCAGATGCCTGTCCTAGGACGCCTCTGCGGAAAGGGCTACTCTCGTGCAGGGGTGTGCACATCCCGCAGCTGCTGCAGGAGACACAGGCTGTGGGCCCGTCACAAGGACGACCTTGGGGACGTCAGCAGCCCTACTGTCTGCCTCGGGAGCACAGAGCCTCGGCGGAGGATGAGGCGGGCAAAAGATTCCAGCACAAGCTGGGGATAGGCAGAGGCTGTCAGGGGGCCGGGAACCCGCTCTGCCTCCGCCTCCCAGGTCTGTAAAGCACGAGCAGTCTCCAATGACACGCCCGAGGCCAGCCTCTCACCTTCACCACCAGACAGGGCTCCGAGGCACAGAACAATTTCAGAGCGCCTCTGGGCCACCGCCCTCCCCCCACACTTCAAGTCCCCTCTCAGGCTTCTCCCCAACTTCTGCAACTTTGGGATTCCAAGTTCAGTATCAGCAGAGCCCATGGGGGCCTCAGCCACCCCTCTCTTACTCAATGGGAAACTAAACGCTCCCAAAGATGGGGCTGTTTTCCTCCCCGCCAGCTCTGCAGGTGAGGCGGGATCGCTCAGGGCTGTCAGCGCTGTTTCAGACCCAGCCCTGGCTCTCGCATCATCCCACGTGTCACCCGTACCCCCAGCTGCTGTCCGTCTACTGGCTTAACCCGTGACCCCGAGTTCAGCTCCTGTCCTACCAGTCTCCCGCCCCGCTTTTAGTCCCGAGAGAGACCACGCTTCCTGTGCCCGGTCTCCTGGGTCCCCGATGACTGCCCTCCGGTACGCAGCAGCCACGTCCAGACCCGGCTGTCATCGGTGACCCACCTTTCCGCAGGCTCTACAAAGCCCCCTTCTCCCTCTACCTTCAACCTCGCCACCTCACTCTCCTAGTGAGCGCACCTGCTTCTCACGCGCGACGAGCAGCGCCGCCCGCCACTGCCCCAGCACCTCTGGCAAATGCAAGCCGTGCCCCTGCCCCAAAGCCACGCTGCGGTCTGACGCTGAGCCCCCACCACACAGCTCAAGTGGGCTGCAACACGCCTACACCCCCGCCAGCACGCCCGCTCCTCTGCTCCCCTAGAGGGAGGCTCCATCCCTCCTCTCCGCTCCTCAGACCCGCAACACTGCCCCTCCTGTCCACCGTCCTGCTCCCGTGTCCTGCCATGCCCAGCAAACGCAGTCGCCCTCACCTGCACCCGAGTTCTCTCCTTCTCAACCGGCTGCTGCTTTTCCCCATCTGAAAATAAGAAACGTTCCCTCAAGCCCACTTCCTCCTGCCAACTACCATCCAACTTCTGTGTTAGCAAAACACCTTCAAGGACTGTCAGTGCCACGCCCTCCCGTGTCTGTGCCCCAATCTCTCTCCAGCCTGCCTGAGTGAGACAGGCACCTTCCCCAGGACACCACAACCACCTGTCAAAATGCGCAAGCCCCCTGCCGAGGGCGGTCCTCAGCCTGCAGTCCACCCCACGGCCCCCCTGTTGGCAGAGGCCATTTCCCACCACCGCTCACCCCCCGCAACTCTTTCCGCTTCCTCCTTGCTACCCCCTGCCAGGTCCCGAGCTGTCCAGGTTCCAGGCCTTGGGCTCTCCCCACACTTTAATTTCCCTCCTCTGGGCCTCTCACTGGGCGCAGGCTCTCGACCTACCTACGTGCCAACCACCCAGCAAGTTGTACCGGAACCTAGACCTCCTCGTCCGAACTCTCACTAAGTGCACACGGGACGCCACCACCTGCAGGCACATCCGGAGCAGAACTTCGGGCCTCCCCCGCTCAAAGCCACCTCTGCCCCGCCACAGGGGGCGGTTAAGTGCCTGCCTCAGATGCTAGATCCCCCAGCACCCCCTCTGCCTCCGCCCTCCCTCACCCCCACCCGGTCCATCGCGTCCTGCTGGGTCTAGCAGCTGACGGCTTTCCACCGTCACTGCCACCACCCTGATCTGAGCCACTATCATGCGTTACCCATGTCAGCGTCGCCGTCCCCTGGCTGAACGCTGGCTTCCACCTGCCCCTACAGCCCACTCCCAACACAGCAGCAAAAATGACTCTTTTAAGCCAGAAACCAGATCACATCATTCCCCTCCTTAAACTCCTCCAGTCACAGCCCATTTTGCTCAGAGGAAAAACCACGGCTCTTCGGATGGCTTGAAGTCTCACGTGACAGAGATCGCACGGTTCTCTGCTCTCACCATTCCACTCATGTCATGTCATGTCTTTCTGGTTTCTGGAACACTCAGGGCGTGGTCTCACCCTCCCCTGCTGATCTCTCTGCCTGGAACGCTCTCCTCTGAGACAGGGACATCGCTGGCTCCCTGACCACCTTCACTCTGAGCTCCGTACGAAGCCCGCCCTCGTCTCCCAAGTTGCACGGCCAACTCCAGGCCCCAGGCGCGTGCTGTGCGTGCTCACGCTGCGCACGTGATGTCGTCTCTGTCTCCTGGACAGCAGGATCACCAGCGCAGAGGGCTTTATCTACTGTTTTTCAGCAACGCATCTCAAACGCCAGAGACGGAGAAGTCTCTCAGTCGGCGTGGGCTGAGCAGAGGTGTGAAGGCCCGCTCCACACCCCCGCTCCAAAGCGGCCTCCCAGCTCTGGGCAGCCGCGCCTGTGGTAGCACAATCGCGCGGCTACTCACTCGAACCCACCACCAGAGCGCACTGTGCAAACATTCCCACTAGAGGACTGATGAAGACCACCAGCTCGGGCATTTCCGCAATGACCTCTGCTGCCCTTGAACTTGAGAAGTTGCTCAGTGCTTTCCACCGTGTTATAAAATAAGAGGAACAAATTCTTAAGCAAACAAGTCTAGCCGGTCAAGCTGGCAGGTGCCTGGGGCAAGGGGAGGAAGCAAAGAAGCCAAACCGTCCTTACAGACGTGCCCGTGAGGACGACTTGGCCGCGGGACCCCGTGGCTTTACAGGAGCAGAAGAGACACGTACCTTGGACGGGCGTCACCACCGCCCCTTTGAAGTGGGGGTTTATGTGTATGTTCTTGGGCTGCTGGGGGGTCACGGGGGGCGGGGTCATCATCACCCTCGGGGCCTCTATCTGGGGCGGCATGTGCACGCCCTGGGGGGGCGAGGCGTGGTGCGCGTGCTGCAGGGGCAGCAGAGGCTGCAGCTGCTGCTGCTGGAACAGACTTCGGATGGGCTGCGGCGGCGGCGGCGGCGGCGGCGGCGGCGGCTGAGGCTGCGGAGGAGGGATTAGCCTTGGAGAGTGCGTCTGAAAACCACCAAAAAAGAGGAGACAAATTCACAGAAATCAACATTCAGAAGAAGAGTAAGGGAAGGCTGACGCCTTACGGATTTACCCTGGTGAAACAGTGGGAGGGATGGTGTGAAGTAAGTTTGCAGGGACAACTGGTGTCACACAGTGGGACCAGTAAGCTGCACTGCCCGTCCCCAGCAAGCTGCCTCACGATGCGAACCAGCCTCAGGGCAAGGAGGGAAAAAATCACAGCCTCAAAATAACTCGCATGGGGGGCGCCTGGGCGGCTCAGTGGGTTAAGCCTCTGCCTTCGCCTCAGGTCATGATCCCAGGGTCCTGGGATCGAGCCCCGCACCGGGCTCTCTGCTCAGCGGGGAGCCTGCTTCCCCCTTTCCCCTTTCTTTCTCTGCCTGCCTCTCTGCCTGCTTGTGATTTCCGTCCAATAAATAAAATCTTTTAAAAAAATAAAAAATAACTCACATGGACTCCAAAAGTTTACAAAATTTCGGTTCAGCCAGTAAAATTGCCCAGAGTGAGCCAAGCACTGTGCTGCAGGCTGAGCCCGAGCTGCCCTTGCCCTCCCCACAGCCTGTCCTGCTGCTCCTCTTCCAGAAAACCAGGGAACGAAGATAGGATGTGCACAAACAGCCGTGCCAGGTACAAGGCCTCCAAGAAAAGCCCAGCTACCCGAGGCAGCGGGGGACAGGAGGAGGGAAAGGGCAAAGACACGGCTGCTGGGGAAAACAAGGGAGCAGTGAGGCCATAGCCATGGAGACAGAAGACGGACAGAGGAAAGAAAACAGACACCCAAAGCCGTCCCGGGGTGGTCCCATCAGACACCAGCCCCAAGGGGAGGGAAGCAGCCACAAGGGCACGATCGCTGAGCACAGGGCCACCCCATGTCATAAGCCCCTATGTCAAGGTCCAAATAAAAAGTAACCGGCACCCCCCCGCCCAGGACCACCGCCCCCTGGCGATGCACCGCAGGGTCCTCGTGCCGGTCCTGCTTTCACGGGTCCAGCCGGGAAGCAGAGCCCAGACCACCTGCGCGCACAGGCCTGCTCGTGGCCACCCCTGAGGCCGGCCACACTCGGTAGCAGAGGCGGCCACTTCGCTAGCGCACCGTCTACCGCAGCACCCGCCTTCCCCGCCGGGCTGCCCGATGCCGGCGGCTCCCGAAACCCCAGCGCCTAAAGGACCGCGGCTCCAGCCCGCAGCACGTGCGGACACCTACGGACCTGACACGCCGAAGAGCTCGAGGCGAGTGAGACACACCGCTCCGCAGGCTGTGGCGAGAGCCAAACAGAGGAAACGGGCCACGGCTGGACGAAGAGCAACAGGGAAAGAGGCGTCTCAGAGGCACGAAGACACTTCGGAAACCAGACCGTCTGCAGCCTCGGTCTCGGGGAAGATTGTTCCAGAGGCCCCAGGGCCGGCCCACATCCACGGCTACCCACGCTCGGGATGCCAGCGTGCGCCTCTTCTAGCGCACGGCGGGGGACGCGTGCAGCGCAGACAGGACAGTCACGGAGCCGGGCACCAGCACGCACAGAGGCCGTCTGAGCCGGCTCCGACCTGACAGTGAACGCGGGGAGCGTCCTCTGCTCACGAACACCAGGCGTGCTAAGGAAATCCCACATTTGCAACCGGGAGTGTAGGGGCTGTGAGCCACGTGGAGAGGCCCAGGGCAGCTGGGGAGCGCAGAGCTGGCAAGAGGGAAGGGCCAGGGACTCAGACGTGCACAGGGAGGGCCGGTGGCAGGAAGGCGATGGCACCCAGCGTGAGCTCTGGCCAGGAGGAGGGCTGACAAGAAGGCCGCTGCAGCGGGCAGATGGGGGAGAGCGCCGCCCAGCCCGACGTAGGCAGCTCGGGGCACAGGAGCTCCACGGGGTGTGCGAGGCACCCGAGCGCGGCAGGAAGGACTGGCCCGGAGCAGGCAGCAATTCCCAGAGCACCTTGAGAGGAGCTGAGGCGGCAAGGGACCGACCTAAGACAAAATGCACTGATGCAAGGACATGAGGAAGATTCTTTTTCCCAGAACTCTAGAGAGTCGGGAAGACAAGACAGCTCTGGGCTGGGGAGTAACCAGGACCAAGAGCGTTTGTGGTCTGAGGACAGACACAGGTGGGAGCGAGGTTAAGTTCATCTCCGACAGCTTCGGTTCTCCTGGCAAAGTGGAACTGAGGAACACCTCGACTCGCACGGCTGGGCACAGAGCTTACGGCCCAGAGCAGGTCACGCCACAGGCTTATCTCCAGTTCACAGTGAGCTGCAGAGCCCAGCTCGGTCGTAAGAATGCCGGAGACATGACACCCCCAGGGCAGCGGCCACGCCGTCTTCCCCTTGGCTAACAATGTCAAAGCGCTCACAGCTCCTCTCAGCCCAGCCTCTCTTTGGGGAGGCTAGTGGGCTCACCTCCTCTCTCTGTGGACCTCCCCTTCTTTCCAGGATCACAGAAGACACAATTACACAAGCCCCTGTGTGGCTGGTCCACCCCCCCAAGGAGGCCAAACTAACCAAACTGGCTGTTCACTACACAGCGAAGACGCTGGGGGTGCGGGCACCGGACGAGGAAGAGAAAGGAGGAATGAAAGGTCCAGCCTCTTTGCTATGTGAGAAGCGTAACAAAGAAAGAGCTGTATGAAGAAACAGCAGTTCTCAACATTGGCAACTTCTTTTCACTGAAATTAACCCGACTTCTCTCCCCTTCCTTTACTTCAAAGTCGGAATTTTCGCGCTGAACAGCAGGCGCCCTTTCCACCTCATCATTTCGCAAGTGAATGCTTCCTGACACTGAACTCGTCCACGAAGAGGCAAAGTGTGACCTTCCCTGAATTCAGATAAAAATGTAGGAGGGACATGCAATAGACAGAGTGGACACATATTTGTATTAAATCAATTTGTCCTTGAAGACTGACTTCTGAAGGAAAAAGCCATAAAATCCTAAAGCCAACCAAAAGAACACGTAAAAAAATAACCACTGTAATTCCTTCCTTTGCTTCTGCGATATCTCATCTTTGAAATGCACACAAAATGCAACTGAGCTGAAATTCCAAGTACATGATTACGGGTAGGAGAAAACAGTTACTCTAAGAGAAACCGCTCCACTTAAGGAGAGACCTCTGGTAAACAGTATAAGGAACAACTCTTCTGATAAAATCAACAGCACTACCTAGATCGGAGACGTAACCCAGCCATCTTTTTGCGGACGGGTGCGCGGGGCAGCAGCCCTCTACAAGCAGGGAGGACAGAAGCCAGGCTCCCCGGTGGTCTCGTCCCTTGAAGATACAGGCCTCCTGTTACTTCCTTCTCCGTAAGCAGCTGTGTACAGAATCCTCCCACTACGCGAATACCAGGAGGAGTGAATTTGGACCACAAGTGAGCGCGTATTGTAAAGAAACTTTCGCCATTATTCCTACGATAAAACCTTAATTTCAGACTAGGAGATACACCCCGAGTCTGAAACCCACGGAGGCACACTTTCATTGTACTAAAGTCTCGGACTGTCGCCGTGAAACTAACCCTTACCATGCCGGGAGGCTGCGTCGGAAGCAGCGCCGGTCTGTGATCTTTTATTCTCGCCCGCTCGCTGTTGTCTCTCCTCTGGTCTCCCATTCCACGACACACCACGGAGCCTCCTCTCCTTCCGCCCCGCCTCGAACCATAGCGCCCCTGCTTGTGCTGTCGCTCTCTTTCTTCGAATTCCAGCAACGCAGCTTTGGCTTCTGCTGAAAGCTCTGTTTGAAAAGATGGGTAGATGTCAGAGCTCTTCCAAGAGCCGAAACCAGATCTACAGGAGAAACAGGGAAGATACACATGACAAGACCCCCCGAGGCAGCGTGGGCCTCACCCACAGGGGTCAGTAGACTGGCAGCGACACTCGTAGCACGTTAGTGACACCTGTTACACGAAGATGTGGCTCGCCCTGGAACCTCACCTGTAGTGAGGCACAGGAGCCACAGTGTTTTCACCAGAGACCACAAAAATGTGCAGGGAGAAGCTAAAAGGAATGCGCTGGGGCCCGACTTCACACAGCCCTCAAGCCGCCGCCATCCCTCCCTCAGTGCCGGCGGGCGGTGCGGGGGAGGAGTGGGCTCAGCCAGGCCCCGGCCAGTGCACTGCGCTCGGTGAGACCAGTACCGGCAGCAGGGCTGTGCAGTGGCACGCAGACTCCAAATGAAATAAAACACATTACTGCTTATGCTGAAGTAAACGAAACTATCCGTGAAAAACACTGCGAATCAATTAACTTCATACAATGGAAAACTCATTATCATTTCAGATTTATCAAAAAAGACCTTTACTCTGTGAAAAAACACTTCTATCCATGCAGTCTGATATGGAAGCTCTATCAGATGAAAGCAAAGGCACAGAAGAAAAAACTCATTAATGCAAATGCTTGTGGGACACCCACGAGATGCTCACCTCTCTGACCAATGCTTTAAGGACACAAAAAACACATACTCTGGCCCTAAAAAACTTCAGCTGGCACATTATTATAAATTCCTAAAAGAGAAAAGCTGACTTACTCATATACGGTTCCTTTATTTTAAAATATTACCTGAATTGGGGTATCTTACATTAACAAACGTAAACCTTCTAAAGGTTTCACTGAATCCCGAGAGGCATTCTTACACTTTCTTCCACAGTGAAGGGCAAATTTTAAACATTACCAGTTCATCTTCTACCTTGGATTCCATAATCACCACCAAACTCTTCCAAAATCTCTAAGCCACATCTCATTTTCTTGATATTGTTTCTATGGTATTGCCCTCCCCTTCAAATAAGTCTAGACCCCATTCAAAAGAAAATTTAATCTCCTCTTAACAAGCACAGACTTTTACTCTAATCTTGACTACATGATTGGTTCATATACACATTTTTTGCAGTGAATCAGCAATTATTTTTCTAGTAGTTCTAAGTGTCAAGATTAATTTCACTATCCCCAGTAATAAAATGGTTTCAAATGACATCTTTAATCAGCAAGTAAAAATGCTTTCCTCCAATTGAGACAAGCTGTCACAAAAGGTCACCAAAATATGACAGGATGGAAATTACATTTGTAACTTCAACTGAAATGTTAATTTCCTCTTAAGTGTTTTCTGAACTATATCCATATTCTAAAGTAAAGAGACATAGTTGAATGTAACAAAGTTCTATACTGTATTGTCCTTTCCTACAATGTGTTTAATAACATTTGTACATAATTAATTTTTATAGTAGTTGGACTAATACTTAATGGATAAATATTTATAGAATACACAGCTTATCTGGCAAAATAAAAATAACAAATGATAGTCTGAATTTTTTTATAAGAGAATTTCGATCAAGCAATTTGTTTTAAAAAAAAAAAAAAAAAAAAAAAAAAAACCTTGCTTGTACTACAAGGACCATCACGTAAACTGAAGGCAGGATCCTATGGCCGGCACTATCAGTCTCGAACGGTTTATTACTAGATGAAAATATTCTTCCCACAGATCCTTGGCCTTAAACAAAATTAACTAAGGATATTATTTCAAGAGAACAATATGTGGAAACAGTAAGAATATTCTTTCTTTAGGCTAAAGCAATAAAATGCAATTTAACATTTACATGTGCCAGTAAAATTTAGAATACTGCAAAATATCGATGCCTACTCATAGACTAATGGATTAAAAAAAAGGCCTAACTTGAAAGTAGTCTTTTGGGTACCACGTGTACTGCTCTCAAAGAAACTCTCAGGTCGACCTCTGAGGGCCAAAGCAGCAGCAGCTCTGAACTTCTGTGCTGAGACTTAAGAAAAACCAGTCACTGACACCTACTTTTTAGAGATGGTTTTTGACATTTCCATTCAAAATACATTACTCCCATACATGTATCAGTTCTAGAAACCCTTCTCAGCTGGGTTCCACAGAGAATTAAAACCCTCAGACCCTACGGCATCCTTTGTACGGAATGAGCAACTCTATCTGCTAATAAGCATGTGGTTTTGTACCACCCTCAGGGAGACTGAGAAAAAGTCACACTTTCTGGAAGGCTTAGCTCCCAGAATGCTGGCTGACTCCTTACTTAAAATCTTAATCTACAGGAAAGCCCAAAATTCTACCTGAATTCAAAATCCACATCAGAGACTGTGTACCAGGTTCTGGAGCTGTACACGACTCCGTGGCCCGCACACTGAACGACGGCGTCCCCGATCTGAACGCGAGAACAACTAAGAGAGACCCAACAACCCAACCCTTGTAGGTTGTGCAGGGAACTCACTACCCACACGCAGGGTCAAAGGGTCAGAAAAAGGGGGTGCCAGAGCACGATTTCAGGCTTCTTTTTAAAGAGTGGAAGGTTCTCAATATCAATCAATGATAAGACAAAATCATTTTTGTCTTCAAAATGTTAAAAGACATCACTTGTCGAGAAATACGTATTCTATGAGATTACATGTAGACTCTGGCAGCAGGATACCTACAAGGAGTAGGTAAACAGCTATATGCAGTCAAGTAAATGTTGGGTGTTTCTGTACAGAAGCTGAAACCGCTACCTGCCACCAAGCGCACGCGGACTGACGGCCTGACGGGTAAAACGTACGCAGATTTATGGTTTACCAGACACCGTAGCAGCTTCTCTTTCTCAATCAGTATTTTCTTTTATGTAAAACTAATCTTTTGTTGGGAGAGTGGGGGTGGGTTCAGGGTACTAAGAGAGTGCATTGTTTTAGGAAACCCATCTGTCAATGGGACAGAAAAATCCTTTTTGTACCGGGAATAACCCTAGCTTTGAGTTACTAGAAAACTTGTGTTCCGAACGCTACGCTTGCTTATGTCAAGGCTCACAAATATGGAGCAGAGACAGACACATTTAAGCACCATTTCCACTTGCCCTATTACCTGGCTAAATCAGCACAAATGCATTTAAGCCTAATTTCTTAATGTTTAAAAGGACAGCAAATGTCCAAACTGTTTACGCTTGTAGCCCCCCTCCACCTCTAAGGATCCCGGACTCTCTAGCCTGTATTTAAAGGCTCCAGCTTGCCTACCACTAACCCCTTCCAACCTCTTCTCTCAAGAGGTACAAATGACCCTGAAGAGAGCAAAATGAGGCAAAGGTCCTGAGATGGAGGAATGAAGCCACAGAGACGGTGAACACAAGCAGGGTGAACACCTGGGCTGTCAGTGCCTGGGGCAGGTACAACGCACAGGGATGACCCCAGCTGAGGACAGGAGGTGGGAGAGGCATCGAGGTTCAGGGCAAAGTGACCCTCACGCTGGCCTACAGGAAGCTGGCTATAGACGAAAAAGGCCCTTCTCGGTGTTCGAGTGACGTCACACCCTTAGAACCTGCAGCTATCCCCGTTATTATGATGTGACACACAAGTTCCACCACTTGGGAGAACAATGCCACAGCCACTACAAAACCGCAGAGAAGTGATGAATTCTCCCTCTGTGCCATTCAGCCTGGGGCGTCCACTCTCCCTTTTCATCCTACTCCAGCCCGAGCCTGAGACATCTGCTCTGCTGTGTAATGTTACCTTTCCCTCCTGCTGAAAGATGCACTTCTGTTCTTTCCCATCCTCCCGTGTTCCCAAGACCGACGGCACATCCTCTTTCTTAGCAACTTATGCAGCCCAACTGGCAACTTCACAGCATAACTTGAGCTAAGTGCAGAGCATTCTTGGGTCAAAAGCTAGAGGAGGGGGAAATCAGAGGGCAAAGAAGCAGAGACTGCCAGGAGTCCACCAGTAATCGCCCCACAAATCTCGCTTCGTAAAGGTAACATGGAAATACAGGCTCGCTGTTCGTCTGTATACACTGGGCGCCTGGCATCCTCATGCAGAAGTCCCATCTGCCACTTAGAGACCCGTGTTCATGTTTCCAAGTGAAAAGGACTATAAAAAAATGGTTAAGAAGTGATCAACGTAGTGACTGACAGTTCCTCGATTTTTGACCCGAAAGTGGGTAAACCCTATCCTCCCACCGTCCCACATCCTCTCCCTAGAATACAGCACAGTATCCCAACAGGTAAACTCTATGACCTCCCCTGGCCCGAGAACACAGCACAGTACCCCAGACGTTCTTAAAGAAGAATCCCAGAGCAGCAGGGGCACCACCACCTGCCAACTCCTCAGAAACACGACCGTCCTGGGCAGTGCCCTGAACCAACAGACTCGGGAGAGCTGGCAGTGGGTCCGGGAATCTGTGTTTCAACAAACCTTCCAGGCGATTCTGTCGCTCAAACTGGAGAACCACTGCTCTTTCCTCTGCACTGGACACTGGAAAAATCAAACCCCTAGGGGGAGGGGAGGGTGACCAGTGAAGGGCTCTCCGCTCTCAGCAACGGCCTGCTGCGGGTCCTGCAAAGCAGTGTCTGCTCAGAATGACAGTCAATCATGTCTATGAACAAGGTACCTTAGCTCATAAAACATGGAGAGGAAATCACATCCAGGAAAAGAAAACAGAAAAAAGATGGTTATCACAACACTACCGGGAACAAAATATGAGTAGTCTGGTCCAGAATCAGCCTTCCAGAAGGATCAAATGGCCCTGCGTCACCCCCACACCACCCTCCCAGAGCCAGCAGGACCTGCACGGTATATGCCTGAGAGCAGGTCCAAGCCATCAACTCCAAAAGAAAAAGCTATTAAAAAAAATAAGCAATCAGATACTTTATTCAAATATTTTTAGTCCAGAAGACAGTCATTTTTACAGAATGACTTTTACAGCACTGTAACTCAGCTCTAACGTCACGCAGCCCATGCACACTCTGGACAGCACAAGCAGTAACCTATGGAGTTAAACGGTTTCTGCCCATCTGAGCCGTCACGACAGAACGATGAAGGAAGCTGACACGGGAGTGAAGAAGGATGGGAGACAGGCAAAAAAAGTTACCCAAAGTTTCTGGAATGTTCCTTCTCTCTCTAGTTACATCGGAGAGCCTAATAATTGTTCCTTCTTTCCTTTCAGTTTTGAAACGTAACCGTCCAGATTCTTCATCATCATCATCTTCTTCATCTGATTCTTCTTTTATGTCCTTCTGCAGTTCCAAAGTTTCCATACCTCCCTAGAGCGCCGACATACAAAACAGAAAGGGATTGAGACTGAGTTCACATCCTTTTGAATTAAATACTGAAGCATGATCGATACACACACACACACACACACACACACACACACACACGTAAAGGTTCTTTATATTTAAGATGTAAAGATACTGTAAAATGTTCCATGACAAGGCCATGTAAAACACTAAACTGATTCTAGGAACAAATAATTTCAAACATTAAAAACAAAGTCAGAAAAGTTCAAGTCTTGCTTGTAATTAATACACAATATATTTTTACTTAAACTTCTGAGAGAGAAAACATGAACTTCTTCCTTCCTTTTTTTTTTTTTTTTTCCCAATTTTTTTAAAGTAGGCTCTGTGCCCAGCCTTGGGCTTGAACTCACAACCTCAAGACCAAGAGTCGTATGCTCGACCAACAGAGCCAGCCAAGGGGCCCAAGAACCATAAATTTCAAAAAGTCCCTGCTGGCCTCAAGCCTGATCCAGATTCCAGCAAAATTCAACATATACACTAAGCCAGCACTGGAGTTCCATGAGTCATCAGCATACGTCCCACCATGTGACTTACATCCGATGAGAGCACACTCTTTCCTGTCACACAGGCTCAATATTCCCAGTAACCCCTGACCTCCTCTGCCATGATTTCTACTCTTGGCACGCACGCCAAAACTGCTGTTAGGTTGGTTGGTTTCTTCAGACTCCAAAAACCTGTCCTCACCCACTCTTAGCCTCTCCCTTCTTTCAACATCCAGAGTTCATCTATCACTGCCTCCGGCTCAGACTACTGCAACGGCGAAGCTAGGTTTTTTTCTCAGTCATGCTAAAACCAGCTTTTATCTTTTATTATATCAGCATTCCTACAGAAATACTGCCCAACCTAGTCCCAACTAAAAATTTCTTCATCAACAATTGTTACTTTAGCCCTGATATTCCCGTTGATACTGACCACTTTTCCCCTTGCACTAGGAGTCTAGGTAACCTCCTGGGAGATAAAATACGGACTTACAAGAGCCAGGGTCATTTAAACACTTTTTGTAAATGTAAAGAAAACAGAATTTGCCCCTTTATTCTCGTGATTCATAATTTTAAATGTCCTTTACTCTCAAAGGAAACAAAGATGAACCACTTTATTAGAAAATGCACAAGAAAAAGTTTAACATAAACCAAAATACAATTGTTTTCTATTCTTTCCCCAACACTTTCTGTGCAAAAAGATCAACTACGAATGCGCATACTCGCTGCTACAAATACTCACGTCTCTAACATCTTCAGGAGTCCAAACACCTGAAGATAAAATGATGACCGTACAATGATGAGACCACCACCTTCCAGAATTCCAACAGTCAGTCTACCGCGGAATTGTAGAGTACCCATGTCTTGGCATTTGCTCGTTTGAGATCAGTATTTCTGTCTTACTGAAAATCTGAAACCAAAATGAGTAACACGGACGCTGGGCCCAGCTGGGCTTGCTCAAACAAAGGTCGGCTCACTCACGAAGGACGCTTCCCACTTCCATAAGGCTCCAGAGCAGCGCTGCTCCAATCCAGCGTTCACACCCATCCCCGGGAATCCTGTTACAACAGACTGTGATTCTGCAGGTCCACGGTGGGGCCCGAGACTGCATTTCTAACAAACTCCTAACACGCTGGTCCAGAGACCACGCGTTTTGAGTGGCAAGGCCACAGAGGAAGAAAGAAATGGCTACCAATAAAGCAAAGATTCTACTTCCTACAATGGTCATTTCTAATGTAGCCATTAACAGTAATTCCAGTGCAAAGACTTTCCGAGCAAGTTTAACATAAAACACGACAAGACTGAAATCCATAAAGTTTATTTTGCATCCGAATCTCCACCTAAGAAATCTAGAGAGGACAAGGACGAGCTGAAAATTGTTTCTTTGGAGCAAATACTACAGCCCACCGGACACAAACCAACCCAGTCTACGCCCCAGCAAATCGCCTTCCCGGACATCTCACCCAAGAGAAACAATCATTTACGTTCACATAAAGAGCTTGTAGGAACATACTTGTGCTCTCTTCTGGATCACCGAAACCAGATCGACAGTAAGTGAACGGCTACGTGACAGGAGCCACTCAACACTCACGAGCAGCAACAGGGAATCGACTACGGACATACACGTGGGGCGAAATCACAGAAGCCCTGCCTGAGGAGAGAAGCCGATCACACGCTGCAACGAGTCCACTCCCAGGCCGGTCTCCGGAGAACACATCACACCAGTTGCCACTGATTAAAAACAGAGGGAAGGCAGGACCGCAAAATGACCACATACGGTAGTTTTTGAGCGGTGGAACTCCTGGAAGGCAAGCTTCTGGCTGAAGTCTCAGAGGCCAGTCAAGCCTTGAACGACATGAAGGACTACACAAGCCCAGAACCCTCGCGCTAAACCACAGCCTGGCCTCGCCTGCCTCAACCACAGCCGACCACTGGACAACCTGCACTGAGCTAGACTCGTGCCTTCGAGCACCTCTTATTCTAAACACTGGCTCAAAAAAAAAAGGAGAAAAAGGCATCTTTTTTGGCCATATGATTTACAGAATCAAATAACCTATCTGCCAACTGCTGAGTTTCTCCACATTTTTTTTTAATATTTTACTTATTTATTTGACAGAGAGAGACAGACAGCAAGAAAGGGGACACAAGCAGGGGGAGTGAGAGAGGGAGAAGCAGGCTCTCTGTTGAGCAAAGAGCCCGATGTGGGGCTCAATCCCAGGACCCTGGGATTATGACCTGAGCCAAAGGCAGACGCTTAATGACTGAGCCATCTAGGCACCCCTCTCCACAGTTGTAACAAGTACCAGGTAGTATTCTACTCATAAGTAAAACTCCAATGAAGAATAGTGCTGGTGACACAAAAATCAAATTATCATAAGATACTATTGTGTATGAAGTTAAATATGTGTATCTGTGATCTCATTATTAGGCTTTCCAAAAATACACAGAGACTTGATTTTTAACTACTTAATTATCTTGAAAACCTGACAGATGTAATTGTAATTCTTAACAGAGGGTACACATGAAAACCATCATGAAAGTTCTTAAAAATAGACAACTCTATCAAAATCTTGCCACATACAGTTGACCCCTGAACACCACAAGTTGGAAATGCACAGGTCCACTTGTATGTGAATTTTTTTTTTGTTAAACTCAGTACTGTAAATGTCTTTTCTTTATGATTGTCTTAATAATATTTTCTTTCCTCTAGCTTACTTTATTGTAAGGATATAGTATATAATACATATAACATACAAAATAGGTGTTAATCGACTGTTATCAGTAAACTCTTAGCAGTGATGTTCTGAGGTAGTTAAAAGTTACACACAGGTTTTCAACTGAGCGGGGAACAGTGACCCCAACCCCAACACTGTTCAGGGTCAAAGGTATAAAGGATTAGAAAGTCTAGCGCTGCTGGGTGGCTCAGTGGGTTAAAGCCTCTGCCTTCGGCTCAGGTCATGATCTCAGGGTCCTGGGATCGAGCCCCGCATCGGGCTCTCTGCTCCACGGGGAGCCTGCTTCCCCCTCTCTCTGCCTGCCTCTCTGCCTGCTTGTGATCTCTCTCCATCAAGTAAATAAAATCTTAAAAAAAAAAAGGGGGGGGGGCGCCTGGGTGGCTCAGTGGGTTAAAGCCTCTGCCTTCGGCTCAGGTCATGATCCCAGAGTCCTGGGATCGAGCCCCGCATCGGGCTCTCCTGGGATCAAGCCCCGCATCGGGCTCTCTGCTCGGCAGGGAGCCTGCTTCCTCCTCTCTCTCTCTCTGCCTGCCTCTCTGCCTACTTGTGATTTCTGTCTGTCAAATAAATAAATAAAATCTTTAAAAAAAAAAAAAAGAATTAGAAAGTCTAAGGGAAAGCAAGATCCAGGCCTGCAGATATTTTTAAGTTCTCCAGATAATTCTGAAATGAACCTGAGATCTAAGCTTTTTAAAAGAAAATGCAATATTCTTTCCCAAACCCAAGGGGAACAAAAACAGGTGTTCTCTGAAACAGGGTGGGGAGAAGCATAGAGAACATAGTTTTTAAAAATTTACTGAAAGTTTTTAATGTTTACAGAATATTTTAATAGAGAATAATTCTTTATTATACTAAGAAATAGAAATCAAATACAGGTATTAATTCTACCAATTGTGAAAATTTAGGGGCGCCTGGGGGGGCTCAGTCTGTTAAGCATCTGACTCTTGATTTCAGCCCAGGTCATGATCCCAGGGTCCTGAGATTAAGCTCCGCGTGCAGTAGGCAATCTGCTTGAGATTCTCTCTCCTCCTGCCTTCGCCCCCTCCCCACTGCTTGCTCACTCACACGCTCCTCCCCCACTCCAAAATACACAAATCTTTAAAAAAAAATGGTGAAAATTTACAAGTTGTAGAGATGGAGCAATCAAATTGCACAAAAATTCTAATTACAGACCATTATCCTTCATAAATAGGGACACAAAATTCCTCAAAAAAACAAAAGCACGTGGAATCTAGCAAAATATAAAACAGGAAAATATATCACAACTAAGTGAGTTAGCCAGAAGCACAAGGTTGATTTAAGATACAAAAAAATTAATTTACCAAATCTTAGAGAAAAATTCCAAATATATGTAGATAGCACCCCTGCCCCAAACCCTCCCTCCACCAGAGGCAGAACTCCAGTCCGTCCGCCCTTGAAGGGCAGACAATGAGGGACTGGCTTCTAAGGAACAGAGCACGGAACAGGAAAGACCATACTTTGTAGATCTACTACCTGTAACTGGCAAACAGGACGTGGCCATGTGATCAAGAGTGCCATTGGCAGAGAGGTCCCATACCCAGTGGTATGATGGATGAGAAGGGCAGCCAACCTCTGTGGCATTCCTTCCAAAACCCCCCCCCCCCCAGGACCCAGCATAATCACGAGAAAGTATCAGACGAGCCCAGACCGGAGGACACATGCTATGGGCTACGCGGCCAGCACAGCTCTAGACTGGCGTGGTCATGAAGCGCAGGCAGACCGGAGGGGA